CCCCGGCCGGGGGTGTGCGGCTGGCAAGCGGGCGTTTCTCAGTTGGTGAGGGGCCTCGCTGGGTGTGGAGAAAGGGGTGCTTCGGGGCAGTACGCAACGGGAATGAAAACAGCCCTTTCTGCGTAACTTTTTAGGCGAAACCACGCCTGTGTTGTTGACTAGATTGTGGCAGACGAGGAAGTCAAATAACGTGGGGTAGGCTTCAGTTTTCTAGTTAAAACTAGTGTTCATGTTTTTTGTCTGTGGCTAGTGGTTATTTTCTTTTTCACAGCGGATTAGAAAATCGAGCTGTAACTGGGAAAATGGGTCATTAATCTCGTTAAAAATCTGTTCATGCTCAGAGCAATAAAGTAAGATAGGCAGGTGATGGCTACGTAGAGACAAGCTATGTGGCGAGCAGCATTTGGGCAAAACCCAAAGGTCTGGCTGATGCACTTTTTTTCTCACATGCGTAATGAACCTGCTGTGTCCATGGGATGTATAAACTGTCTACAAGCTAGGTTGAGTTTGGTACTAAAAGGCTGTTAGTCCGATATTAAATTGAAATGTGCTCCAACTCAGCCTTAAGTAGCCCAGAGACTGAAAATACCTGTTTCCCCTGTCAGGAGGAAGGAGGAGAAAGAAGTAGAAGCAGACAAAGTAATTCATCAAGAGAAAAGTGAACCCAGCCTGATCTGTCCCCCGCTGCGCAGCAGAAACTATCTTCCTCCGGAGGATATACAGAGCTGCCTTGAGTCTCACGTCAAGGAGATTTTTGGACCATCACTTCCTGATAATTGGCAGCAGACACCCCTCAAAGAAAACAGGTTAAAGTATCGCCTTCTGGCTCAGCTGGCAGCCGAACTTGGTCATGCTGTACCCAATTCACAGCTCCACCTGATGTGCAGTGCGGAGGATGTCTTGAATTTCTATAGCACTCCTGTGAAGGATGTGTCCAAGTTGGATGAACTGTGCGCCGCAGAGCTACCCCCAAACCTGAAGATCATTTGGCAGCAGTGAGTCGCACCATGAGGCATGGATTTGCTTTGTTTGTGTTCCTAAGGCAGGACTGCAGCACAGAAGCAGAGCCCTTTCGTTGTGGTGGCGGCAAATGAATATATAAATATCACTAATAAAAGTTCATTTAGTTGTCCTCAGGTTTCATTGTTTGTGTTTTATTATACATGGAAAAAAGAGCAGAAGTTCTTCCTGTGAAACAGCGAGGCAGCGTGCTCGGTAACAGTGCTAATGTACTGTGCTGCCCAGCAGTTACAGGGTCCAGTGGGGATAAACAGGGAGGACCGACTCCCCAGTTTCTTCCCTGCACCTCCTAAATGTCTTGTCTTCAGTTCTGAACTCTGTAATGGGCTTCTGTGAGCACCGGTCAGCGATGCTGGGAGCAGCTGGGCCACCAAGACTAGCTGGGCCAGCACACTCTTGGGGAAGGAAGGGGGACGTAAGCCAGCTTGTTTGGTTTTTTTCTTTTTTCCCTTGGGATTGAAAAGAAGATCCTATTGGCAATAAGGTTTTTAAGAGCCATCACAGGTGCCATCTTCACATAAAGCCGCTTGTTCTGCTCAAAACTGCCACCCAAAGATAGCGCTGAGTGGAATTCCAAAATCTCTTAACTCAGTAATGGTGAACTCTCCAACTGCCCAATAAGAACAGCTGCCATCAAGGCGGCTCGTAGAACTCTTCCGTGTTTGTTGAAGGACCATGTTTTTGTAAGTTCCGTTGCTCTTATTTTTAAGTTCTGTAGCTTCTAATAGCTATTAGTTAGTTTTTCTACTATGCATTAGCTGTATGTTAGTTTTTCTGTAGCTGTGGGAAAACATTTAACAGCTGTTAGTTTTTCTTCCGGTGTAACTGATGATGTAGGTTTGCTTTTAATGAGAGGAGGCAAGCAGTGAAGTCAGGAGGGCAAGAAAATAAATGGAGCGGCCTGAGAAATGTGTGGTACTTCGTGAATGCTTTCTGCAAAATGGGTTGTTTACAGCGAGGTTAGATTCCGTATGTGTGTTTGTCGTGGTTTAACCCCAGCCAGCAGCTCAGCCCCACGCAGCCGCTTGCTCATTCCCCCCCAGTGGGATGGGAGAGAGAATCGGAAGGGTAAAAGCGAGAAAGCTCGTGGGTTGAGATAAAGACAGTTCAAAAGGGAAAGCAAAAGCCGCACGTGCAAGCAGAGCAAGGAATTCATTCACCGCTCCCCATGGGCAGGCAGGTGCTCAGCCATCCCCAGGGAAGCAGGGCTCCGTCACACATAACGGTGACTTGGGAAGACAAACGCCATCACTCTGAACATCCGCCCTGCTTCCTTCTTCCCCCAGCATTACATGCTGAGCATGATGTCATTTGGTGTGGCATATCCCTTCGGTCAGCTGGGGTCAGCTGTCCCAGCTGTGTCCCCTCCCCCTGCTCCTCACTGGCGGGGTGGGGCGAGGAGCAGAAAAGGCCTTGGCTCTGCAAGCCCTGCTCAGCAATAGCTGAAACACTGTTTCCAGCACAAATGCAAAACAAAGCCCTGTACCAGCCACTGTGGAGAAAACTAACCCTACCCCAGCCAAAACTAGCACAGCAATATTTCTGGGAATGATCCAGAACTACCCTGGTTACACTTCTCGCTCTCCGGAACCCTAGCTCCCCTGGTTTATTTTAGCTTACAAATACCTGAAGCACGCTTAGGAACTGCTGCTTTTGTGTGTTACGGTGCTCAGCTGCTTTATTCAGCAAACTTCTCAAGTGCTGCTTCTCGTAACTCTGAAGAAATTTAAGAAACCCATTCTTTTCTCCTCTTAAGTCCTGGGGAATTACAGAATAGCGTAAGGGTGCTACTACATGTTCCATTGTGGGGTGAACGTGAGGGAACTGGGGATGTTTCTCTGGTCACCGTGGAAGGTGGCTGTTTGCAAATCCCTGCAGCTTATGGAGAAACACAGTGTGATAAGTTAAATCTGCATCACCTTGTCTGCTTCAGAGACTGTTTGGGAGTGATGAATTGGAAGTAGGAGGGCTGATCTTAATTTGTTTTAGGCAGAACCAGTTGAGAAGATCAAAAGAAAGTGTAAAGAAGCCAGATGAGGAGACTTTTTCTTAACAGAGAGACTGGATGCCAGGCTGGGTGGTCTGGTGTCTCCACGCATGAGAGATAGCTGCAGTACACTGCGAAGAGGCCCCTGGCACATGTACAACTGGCTGAGGGGGGCTGTCCTACACCGCCACCTCTGCCAGCCTGTGGGGGCATCAGCAAAGTCTGCCCATCCAAGTTTGGGGGAGGATGAACTTTTATGTCTAACGCTGACCTCCGGTTTTGAGGAGACATGCCCATTTTCCCTCCATACAGGTACTTGATCAAGGCAGGGACAGATGGTTTTCCTGATCCAAAGAGTCATGTTCCAGAGCCTTCAAACAGCCAAGAGGCACAATCAGCAGACCGGGAGGAGCAAGAACAACTGCTCTGCAGGGGTACCCCCTTCCCGGTCAGATGGGAGTTAGCTGGGGGGCAGAGAGAGGCCACAGCCATCCAGCTGGGTGACCCCCCAAGCTGCCAGTGGTACTACACAGGCCAAGGGCCACAAATCCGTCTTGAGAGATGATCCGACTTCATGATGAAAAGCAAGCCACTGCAATGTTTTCTTTACGCAGTTGGTTGTAAGACTGGACTACAAAAGCTGCTGTTAGCTGCCTAGGCTCGCTGTACAGAGCATATAGAGAATGATGTGCCTTAAAAAAT